CGCCTGCCGGCGACGCCGCCCCGGCTCCGGCAGCCGAGTAGTATGTGTTGAGTTGTTGAGTTGTTATTTCCGGACAGGCGTCACGGCTTGATCACCATGACCATGCCCATAAAGTCGTCCAGCGTGATGGTGGCGGTAGCGTCGAGATCGGTGTCGTGCCACGAGAAGACCCTACGGGCGAGCGCGCAGTAGGCGCAGAGGTCGACAAACTGCGGAAAGGTGAGCCCTGCTCCGCTGTCGGCGTACAGGCCCGACGGCGCCATCATCCGCCGCAGCAGGATGTTCATGCTCGTCTCGGTCATGTTGAACCCGCACGCCGCCAGAGCCGCCTTGATCTCGGCGTACTCGATGACACCCGAGCCATCGGCGTCGCCAGCACCAAACGCCGCCTGCGCCGCCATGATAAAGTGATGCATAGCCGCAAACTCATCAAAGGTAATCGTCGACTCGCCGCGGGTGTCATACGTCCGGATCAGCAGGCCGGCCGTCTCTGTGGTAAAGGTGAATCCCTGAGCCGAGAGCGCCTGAGCCAGCTCGCGCGCATCGATATGTCCCGACCGATCAACATCGACCTTTCCATCGTCCGCCCCCCATCGTCCGCCCTATAAGTGATGGTCTTGACCAGCATCCGCATCGCCCATCGTAGCCGCGCTTGCTCGCGGGAACCACCCCCTTCTCTCCTCCCCGTGCTGCACACGTGCCTACCCCGCCCCGTGAGCCACGCGCCCGCCCCCATAGTGGCCCTCTCCCTTCCATCCCATACCGCATCAAAGAATCCCCGCAACTGCTCGTCGGCCATGCTCTCCCGGCTATCGTGCCTGTCGCGGCCGTAGTCAAGTGGCCGCTGCACCGACGCCGACAGCAACACACACACAAACACACAAACCACACGCACCGCTCTCCCTCGCCATGACTGCTCTGCAGGCGGCCACTGCTCGGCTTGCCCGGCTGGTGGCTGCCATTCCGGCAGCAGTCTGGCGGCTGCTGGTGGCTCCATCGGCGGCGGCGCGCATAGTGGCGGCAGCGCGGACGGCGCTTCCGCTACTGCCATGGGTGCTGACCGCGGCAGGTGCTGTGCTGGTGGCGGTGGTGGCGGCCGCGCGGGCGGCGGTGGCAAGGGCAAGGGCCGAGCGCGCAGAGGCTGATCTCCGCGCCCGCTCGCTCCAGCTGCTGGCAGCCAAACACGCGGCGGCAGCAGCGCTGATGGAAGCAGACGCCGCCCATGATGGCATCCGCAGGCTCGGCCATCGCGTCCTGGCTCTAATCGTCGCCCTTGCGCCATCCCGTGCCGCCGACGGCGCCCTGGCTCCGCTGCGCACTGCGCTCCGCGAGCCGGACTCACCCTTTCGCGGCGCAAGCGTCGCGCTCGTCCCGGCTGTGCTGGCCGCCTGCGATGCAATTGCGCCTGCAACGTGACCAACCTGCGCCGCGACGTGTGATGCCAGCCAAGAGCCGCTGTTTATTGTTTGTTGCCAGCCATGCGAGCGCAAGCTACAACTCCTTCAAGCCCTTGATCTTCTGCTCAAACTGCTCGGTGTACCAGGCCGCCGCGGCCCAGAAGCCGATGCGGAGTGCGAGGAGCTCGAGCGTGCGGCGGTCGAGAGCGTCATCAGCTGCGAGAATGAGGGCGACGGCCGGGACAACAACCGCAAAGTAGTAGAAGAGCTTGCGAGTGAGGATGACGGCCTTGCGGTCAAAGCCGTAGAGGCCCAGGCCGCACAGCGCGGTCGGAAAGGCTACCACCAGATCGGAGCCGTGCCACAGCTTGAGCCCCGTCGGCATCTCGCTGCCGTCATCCGCGCCGTGCAGGAACCGATACCCGGCCACGCCGGCCGACATCACCGCCAGCACCAGCATCACCGACGCCGCCGGCCGCACAAACGTCGCGTCCTTCAGGAACACCACCCGCGGAGGCCCGTCGCTCCCAGCCTCACTCGCTGTCCCCTTGCCCGACGCCCCATCCCCGCCCGCCGCCTTGCTCCCGCCACCCTTGCCCGCTGCTCCACCCTTGCTCCCGGCCTTGCTCTTCTTGCCCATCCTGTCGGGTTGTGAGACGAGGAGTGCGCACGCCAGCGCCGTCGTCGCTAAACAGCCGCCGCCCACCGCTCCCATGACCAGCCAGCATGTCTCACCACACCACCACCCTCTCTCCGTCACCAGCCGGCCACACCACGCCCGATAGCCAGCCCAGCCTGCCAGTGGCCCAACATGGTGAGCAGTCCTGCCCACAAGCACACATCCAGCCACCATCATCCACCCCCCCCCCCCACCCCACCCCATACCACCATCCATCATCCATCCTCCACAACCAAGCACCCACCCCATAACCGCACATCCATACACGATCCTCT